AAGGCTGATGTAGAAATCACTACCTAGAATGTTGCTGGTCACCATGCCAGATGGAAAAATAACATGGCAAACCACATGCTGGCTCTTACATCTTCCACCCAGAACTAACACAGATCACTTACTCTTATGTTTAATTGACCAAAGCAAATTACATGACCCCACCTAACTACAAATTAATTGCAGGGAAGTACAATCCTATCATGTGCACAAAGGCAAGAGATTCCATAAATGGTGAAACAACACTACTGACCACCACATCCACCCTGCAGAAGGATGGGAATGAGCTGTATCTTTGGCCACATTTCATTTTATCTGAATATTTTTATATTGCAATATTAAAGTTAAGGCTTTGAAGGCCCATCTGGGGAGATAGGAATATAGATTTACTAAGAATAAGAACTGTCTAGGGGCAGAAACATGGAGTGGAAAACTCAGCTCTGAGAAGCTGTTGGTTATGATACTGAGCCTTGCCAGGTACTTTCACAATAATCAGATCTTACTTCAGTTGTTGGTTAGTGAAGCAAAACTAGCAAACCCTTCCCTTCTTATGTGGGAAGGGAGAATATTCATCTGAATACAAATCTTGTCAGAAGTATGGGCAATGGCATGCCCAGGCCAAGTCCCAAGACGCCATCTCTCAAGACGATGCTGAGTCAGAATACGAGGGTGCAGCCTAGAACTGGACACTTTACTCATAATGGGTAGTTTCAGGATGAGGTAGAGCTAGGATGGCAGAGAATGGGCATGGGAGAATGAAAGCCCTGAGATGGCTAGGCCTGAGCAATATTAACCATGGGCCAGGCATGGTGGCTCATACCTGTAATCCCAGCACTTTGGGAGGCTGAGGTGGGAGATCACTTGAGGCCAGGGTTATGAGACCAACCTGGGCAACATAGCAAGACTCCATATCTACAAAAAATAAAAACATCAGCCATGTGTGGTGGTGCATGACTATAGTCCTAGCTCCTTGGGAGGCTGAGCCCAGGAGTTGGACGTTGCAGTCAGCTGTGATCACACCACTGCACTCCAGCCTGGGTGATTGGAGACAGAATGAGACTCTGTCTCTTAAAAAAAATAAATTAACGATGATAATTACTGGGAAATGAATTACAAATTTTTAAATTTTCTTTATACTTTCAATTTTTTATTTTTATACTCAGAAAAAAGTAATTTTAAAAATGATCTCAAAATTGTTATAAGTTATTCTTTTTTGAGCTAGTAGACTCAACTAAAATAAACAAAATTTATGTTGGTATTTCTTTCTTAGTAGTGAGCCAAGTTTGATCAAAATCAGTCATCTTCTTTTAAATTTATCACAGAATAAACTACAAGAAGCCTAGACAAATGGACATGACAAACATTAAGCACCCAATAGTTGCATTAACACTAATATCTCACTTCATTACATTGACCAAGTAGACATAAAATATAGACACAGAAGCAGCCAGAAAATGATGCTATAATCATGTGCTTAAGAGTGATATATCTTTTATTCACTTGGTGTATAAAAAAATAAACAAAAAAAGTGGTATGGACTGTGTGTATAATGCAGAGGAAAAATAAAGAGGCATGAGTCATGGGAGAGATTCTTACAGATTAAGCAAAAGACATATAGTATATAGGTGTGGACTCTGGACTTGGATACCTGGATCAACTTACTGGCTCTTGTATTTATTAATATTAGCCATTTGACCTTGGACAAGTTTTTTAACCTTCCCATATTTAGTTTCTTCATATATAAAATGGGGGTGGGGTATATACCTCATTTGTGAATAGTTTGCAATAAACATGTGAGTACAAGTATCCCGTTGATATAGTGATTTCTTTTCCTTTGGATAAATATCCAGTACTGGGATTGCTGCGTGTGGTAGTTCTGTTTTTAGCTTTTTGAGAAATCTTGATACTATTTTCCATAGTAGCTGTACTAATTTACATTCCCACCAACAGTGTATGAGAGTTCTGTTTTCTCTGCATCCTCATCAGCATCTGTTATTTTTTGTCTTGTTAATAATGGCCATTCTAACTGGGGTAAGATGATACCTCATTGTGGTTTTGATTTGCATTTCCCTGATGATTAGTGGGATGTTGGGCATTTTTTCTATATATATGTTGGCCATTTGTATGTCTTCTTTTGAGAAATGTCTATTCTTGTGTTTTGCCCATTTTATAATGAGATTATTATTTTTTTCTACCGTTCAGTTGTTTGAGTTCTGTGTATATTCTGGATGTTAGTCCTAGGTTAGATGAATACTTTGCAAATATTTTTTCCCATTCAAGAGGTTGTCTCTTCAGTCTGCTGATTTTTTCCTTTGCTATGAAGAGCTTTTTAATTTAATATAGTCCCATGTGTCTATTTTTGGTTTTGTTGCCTGTGCTTTTGAGGTCTTAGCCATAAAGTCTTTGCCTTGACCAATGTCCTAAAGTATTTTCTCTAAGTTTTCTTCTAGTAGTTTTGGGTCTGACTTTTAAGTCTTTAATCCATTTTGCATTGATTTTTGTATATGGTGAGAGATAGGGGTTTAGTTTCATTCTTTTGTACATGGATATCTAATTTTTCTATTACCATTTATTGAAGAGGGTGTTGTTCCCCCAATGTATATTCTTCGTGACTATGCCAAAAATCAGTTGGCTGTAAATACATGAATTTATTTCTGGGTTCTCTATTCTGTTCCATTGGTCTATGTGTCTGTTTTTATGCAAATACCATGCTGTTTTGGTTTCTATAGTCTTGTAATATATTAATATTTTGAAGTTAGATAGTATGATGCCTCCAGCTTTGTTCTTTTTGCTCAGGATTGCGTTGACTATTCAGGGTCTTTTTTGTTCCATATAAATTTCAGGACTGGTTTTTCTATTAATACATCTGTGAAAAATGACAATGGCATTTTGATAGGGATTGCATGGAATCTGCAGATTGCTTTGGGTGGTATGGTTATTTTAACAATATTCTCCCAATCCGTGAGCATGGGATGTCTTCCCATTTGTTTGTGTCCTCTACAATTTCTTTCATCAGTGGTTGTGGTTTTCCTTGTACCTTGTAGAGATCTTTCATCTCCTTGGTTCAATTTATTCTTAGGTATTTTTTTGGTAGCTATTGTAAATGGGTTTGAATCATTGAATATCTCTCTCTCTATTTCTCTTCCTGCCCCTCCACCGCCATTGGCTCTGTTTCTCTGAAGAAGCCTGGCTGACATGGTACCTCTTATCTCCAGCAGCAGGAACTAGTTTCCCTGTCTGTCCAAATACTGGGACCCAGATTGATCCCCTCTCCATTCCAAAAACCAATATCTTCATGTCCTGCTCCCCATCCTTCCAAGGAGATATTAACCAAAATGTTAAATTAGTGCTTGCTGAAGAATTAATAATTGCTGAGTAACTTAATAGGGAGGAACTTAAAATGCAGCTACTAAAATCCAATGCATTGGTATTTGTCTTGTCAAAACCATAAAACATTATGCTGAATAAATATGGGCCATTTTTTCCATTACTGTTGATCACTAGTGAATTGATACATTTCATGCAGCTGTAAACATGATTAAAAAGATTTGGATTAATCAGGAAAGAATGTTGAATGCAACTGAAACATGTAGGGCACAAAATAATATATCACCATAATAAGTATTAAAATATATATGTACATGACAAAGATGAATGGAAATACTGATAAATAAACAACATAATTATTTTTTAAAAAGAGCATCTACTCCACGTTTGGTAAATATATGGACAGGGCCTATGACATCCCACATCAAAGGCAACATCATTCATTGATTACCACACTCCTCCCCCAGAAATGGTCTCCCAAGACATCCTTATCTTTGCACCAGGCATCCCTGGGCCTGAAATGAGGCCTATTTGCTCTTCTGGATTTGGTCCAATCTTCTCAATTTACAGATAACAAAACTGAAACCTAGAGAGGTGACAGATCTTATCTATGATTATGTAGCTATCTCAAAAAAAAACTTGAATCTAAATCTCCTGAATTTGAGTCATGACCTCTTTTTTATAAAAATAAATATTTCAGGCATAAAACAGAATATAGAGAATAATATAGTGGACACTTGTATGCCTACCACCCAGTTTAAGAGGCTGAATTTGGCATTTATGATTTCCATGTTGGTTTTGTACTTTTAGTTCATATGAATGTTTCTATAAACATTACTAAGGGATTGTTTGCACATTTTTAAACTCTCTATAATTGGTATTATAATGTCTGTATCTTTCTGCAAAGGACATTTAACAAGCCTTTGAGTGTTCCTCGATTCCTCAAATAGATGTTGCTGCCCTAATTACTCAGATCCTAAGTTTTTTCTCATAGTATTTTCTTTCTAGGACAGAGGTTGCAAACCTCTGGGTATATTTAATTTGGCTTGTTCAGTATTTAAAATCTTTTCAGCCAGCATTTAAAAACTAGGCGATTTTATATACACATCTGGATCTCCATCTTCTCTGGCAAGGATAGGCTAGTGCTGAGCTGGCAGGGCATGTGCTCTCTGGTATGCTGCAGTCTCACCGCTCCCTGTCTGGTTACACCAGGTCCTTTTCACTCATTTCATCAGCTGCCCTGCCCTGGTGAGTATCTGAGTTTACTACCTCTGTTCTCAGGCCTTTCAACGTTTCTCCTCTATACTGAGCAGTTGAAGGAGTCACTTACACCAAGCTCATGAAACTTAGAAAAACACTGGTGCCTCTTCTGGAAACTCACCTCTAAGCCAAGCAGACCATTTTATAAGAATACAAGATGTTTTGTTTCTCAAGAAATGGAAGCTTTAATCAGGCCTGCCAGTGTTGACATGAAACTTTCTGAGTCAAGAAAATATCATCGCTGATTCAGAGAAGCTCAGCGTGACTGGACCTAAGTGTGGTCCTGCCCTAAGCTGCATTTGTTCCCTGGTTCTGTGCCTAGGATGTGAGCATACCGTGACAGGATGTATTTTCAAGAATAGTTTACAGGCCAGGAATGGGAGATGAAAAGGGTCCAGAGGCCAATTTCATTCCTTTCAGTCATATTTTGTGCTTATGACTGCCACATCTATGAGCGGGACACAGACCCTAGAATTTGAAGAAGGTTTTCTAGGGTTGTTTTCATAATTGATTTCTCTGGAATTCTGGTGCTCTATTCAGCAGAATTCCAACGTGAGTAGTTCTGAATATTCTGAGTGGCTCATGCAATGTTATTTAGAAACTTCTATGATTTGCCTAGGATCATTTTGGTAAACTTACAAACCCACATGTCACATCGTATGATTTATAGTTTACAAAAGGAAAGGCAGCTTTTCTCAAGAAAGCTAGAAATACCCATTTTCTGGCATGACGCAGGCCTTTCTGACCCTGAAACACTGTTTCCACAGGGTCTAAGCTTTCCGTCCAACCAGCCTGACTGATTTCAGCAACCCATTTCTTTTGACCTCCATAGCACATCCTTCCTTTTCCACAAATTCCAGCTCCACACCTGTTCATCTCATGAAGAGTTTTCTATTTGCCCAATACTCCTTCCCTCACAGCCCCTAACAATATACTTCTCAATCATTGTTTGTTGCAAAAACATTTCAGCTGTTGATTGCGTTACAGTTGAATACCTCCTCCTTGCTGTTAAATTTTAACCATGTTTCTCACCATGTGAGCCCAGAGGTCCTGTGCAGTATTGCCTATGTGTGCTCAGGAACACAGACTGAGCACAAGACAGCATGATTATTCTACTGCTGGGCAACAGACACCATCTTTACTCCCCAACAAAGGTACGGAAAAACACAGGCTTGAAGAACAAGCCTTAGCTGGAATGCCACCAAACAGGAAGAGTCTGTGTATGCTGGAACTATCCGGTTACCTTTTGTGAGTTAATAGAACAGTGGTTATTTCTTAATTCAAGCTAGGAGAATAAAGGAGGTGAAAAAGAAAAGTAAAATCCTGCTTACTCACAGCTCTATTCACTTCCCTCTTTATTGTGGTGACAGATCTTATTGTTTTGTCTGAAAAAGAAAAATCTCAGAATTAGAATAAAATTAATGAGAAAATTGTTCTGTTTACAGACTAAAATATGGAAGAACAAAAAGCAAATCCAAACAAATCCACATATAGACTGGGTGTGGTGGTTCATGCCTGCAATCCCGGCACTTTGGGAGGCTGAGGCAGCAGGATTGCTTGAGCCCGGTGTTCAAGGTTACAGTGAGCTATGATCATGCCACTGCACTCTAGTCTGGGCAATAGAAAGAGACCCTATCTCAAAAAAAAAAAAAATCCATCTGTAGAATTTTGTCCACTGTGGCTTGGAACCTCAGGCTGGGTAACATTGAATGTAAAATCTGGTCCCTAGGCAAAGATCATGAACAAAGAAGGCCCCTACTTCCGATTCCTTTGTCTGTCCCTGGCCCCTAGTTACTCGAAGGCTGAGGGGTTGTTAATTTGAGTATTCAACCCAGGAGATGTCTCCAAAATTCTCTATTCCTTTTCTGCTTTAGCCTTGATGGCTACTTCCTGTCTTCCTGCCCTGGCACAGAGCAGAAAATTTGGTCAATTAATTTGCATTAAGGTGAAAATGACAATGATGTTCCACATATCTCGGGGCAGAAGCAAAGTTCATATAATGGGACACTGCTCACCACTAAGTTTCCTTGGTTTCATTTCTTTCTTAACCCCTGATTTCACATCTTCCCTCCCACTCTCATTCTCTTTCAGTACTTGATGTCCAGCCCCTGCCATTGCCTGGGTTCCTGAACTCAGTCTATTCTTAATTCTGCTTTTGCTCTGTACACCAGGTTTTCAGTAATTCCCCTCATGACCAGCCTGACCTTGGCCTGGAATTCCAGCAGTGTAGTCTCCTCCAAGAGGGTTTGCGTTTGAAAGGAACCCAGTGGTTAACCCATAGGGATTGCTCTCAAATGTTGGCATTTCAGTGGAGGCTGCTTTAATGCCTGAGCTCAGTGCTTCCATTCTCTGTGGGCCTTAGGCAACCATAAACCAGCATATTTGACCTTCGGTTTAAATTCCTGTAAAGTTCTGGCTCAGTCTTCTAGAACAGTGCCACTCAAAGTCTGGTCCATGGTCTGGTGCTGGTACATTTGTTACCAGTTCTTGACGAGATAAGTATAGAAATTGAGTGTAAATGTTTAGAAACTTTAGTAATTCTTTTACCTTGTTATGATTTTTCTGATTATATTTATTGAAATGTAAAATAATATTTATTGAGTCTAATAAATATTGGGCTTATTGTTTTATGCCTTTGTACTTGCCGTTACATTTTTTAGTGATTCATTATAGTGTATAAAATATATTGATCCCAACATATTGGAAATTTAAAAAACAAACAAAAGAACAAACTGGTCCTTCACCAGAGAGTTTGAGAAATGCTATTCTCAAGATCTGGAGACCTGTCTAGAGATCTAGATACTGTAGCTGGTGATTCCTACTAGACTCCAACTAGGCTTTGCCATTGGCCCAGCAAGTCAATGAACAAGTCACTCAAGTCTTCTGGGTTGAGATTTGCTTTCTCCTTCCATTGCCCAAAGATAATGCTATTTAGATCAGGCCAATTTTTATTAAGCACTTTTCCAATAAAAAAGTTTGGGAATCAGACAGACCTGTATTCGAATCCCAGCTGTATGACTTTGGAAAGTCATATAGATTTTCTGAGCCTCAGTTTCTTCATCTGCAAAATAAAGACACTACTCCGTGCCTCAAAAACTTTGGTGAAATTACATGAAAAGAAGTTTGTGAAGAGTCTAGCACAGTGATATTCAATAGACCTTTCTGCAATGGTGGAAATGTTGCATTAATACATCTGCACTGTCCCATATGGTAGCTACTAGCTGCATGTGGCTATGGAGCACTTATAGAATGTGAGCCCCTAAAATGTGACCAATGAAGTGAATTTTTATTGAACTTAAATTTCAATAGCCCCAGATAGCTATTGAACAGAACAGGTCTGGCATACTCACTTGTATATAGTAGGTTCAATGCTTAACAGTTTATTGAACATCTATTATATACCAGGCACTGGGCATACATTGGTGAATGAGAGAAACACATTCCTTGTACTCATAAAACTTAAAGACTCACAGATAAAGCAGAATTTGACATTATTTTTACAGCAGAAGTTGCCGACTTTTTCTCTGGAAATCAGCAGGTCACCCCAGAGCCCTGAACTATAGAATAGTTCCTCTTAGGGGAAAATGGTAAACAGATGGTAAACAGGACCTTTTGTGGACCAACAATGGCTCCCCTCTCAGTACATCTTGGTGTGTAGAGCTAGTCACTGAGCATAGGTGGGTAAATCTGTTTAGGAGGCAAGGAGCCTTCTGGAATGAAAAGGACCTAGATTGCTACCTCTTTGCTTGACTCTCCAATGGCCTAAGATGTTGAGGACAACAGAGGCCCTAAAAGGAACTCTAGAGAAGGAAATTAGGACTGTGTCTCAGGCTCAACATAAGGGCCTAGAGTGGGAGAGGCTGGCTGTGCACAGCTGTGGCCGAGGAAGGAATCCCTTCCTGTCTCATCAGCCCATGGAGGTCCTGCTTTAGGACCAATTCAGCATGTGGGAGGAACCGTAAAGTTGTAATATTATCATGTATCACTGTGGCCTTTCGGGGGGTGGATCTGGACTAGCAAGGGTACCTTTGCACAGTGGATAGAGACACCTGGAAGGAACAGAGATTTTGCATGACAGGAACGGAAACAGCAATATCAAAACCAGGGCCTCTTGTAAACTAACCTAGCTCCTCAGTAGTCTTCCCCAGTAGCCTCCTGATAGTTTGTGGGAGGTGAGGAAGTACAGGTTGTAAGAAGGAGACATTGGACTTCTTCCTAAGGAATTAACTGGAAAATTAAAAGGGATGCAATTGCATTTGTAGCCCAAGCTATTAAAACAGGAGCTAGACATGTAATTGTGTGCTGAGTGTATTGAAAGGAGAAGTAGGTGCTATGGAAGCATGTAACAAGGGGATTTTATGTAATGGGTGTGGCGAGAGGGGCAAAGTCAGGGGACGCTTGATGAGGTGACAGCTTAGCTGAGATTTAAAGTTGACTCCAACTCATGTGGACAAGAAGAAGAAAACATTTTAGGAAGAGAGAATACTATATGAGAAAACTCAGAATTGAAAGAGTCGGTTGCTTCTGAAGACTGGAAAATCCCGCATAGGTAGAGCTTGGACAATGAAGGTGATAGTGATGCAATGAGAGGTGGAGACATGAGTCAAACTCTTGGGGCTTGTTGGAACTTCATCTAATGAGCAATGGGAAGCCATGGAAGAGGTCTGGACAAAGGAGACATGGTAGATTTGTGATTTTAAAAGCCTGTTTAGCTAAAAGTGAAAATAGACCATATTGGAGGTGGCAGGAGTGGGTGTAGGGAGACCAGTTAGGAGGATTCAGCTGCAGTACAGGTTGGACTACAGTAGTGGCAGTGAAGTTGGATCAATAAGCTGTAAAATATTAATTCTATTGCTGCTTCCCATTTTACAGATAGACCATCTCAAAGCAGTTAGGTGATTCATAAATGAATGGCAACACCAGGTCCAAATCTAGCCCGCTGACCCTGATTTAAAACTCTAGCCATAGTACCAGCAGCTCTCAACACTTTTCCACAGCACATAAAGTTCTGTGCGTGGCAGACACATTTCTACACATGTATCCGTGCATCTCCTATGAGACAAAGAGGATCTGAATACAAGTGAATTAGAGAAGGGGATTATTATATAGGCAATTGTATGATTTCCCTCTGGTTCATTAAAAACAAAAAGGAATCATTTTTCAAATGTATTCACTTAATTCTTATTAGTAACAAAGCTCTCCCAATGACAGCTGGGGCCTGAGCTTCATACCCCAGCTCTGAGCTACTGATATCCACTCACTCTTGAGATTAGGATGGGGGAAGAGGGGAAGATTTTTTTCCCCACTCTATCTATAAGTGTGACTCCATTCTGTTCTCCCAAAGAAAGCCAGAACAGAAGATTCGGCTGCTCATTTCTGAAGTGAATAAGGAGTCCTCAGGCCCCAGGACTGGAACTTTGGTATAAAGCTGTTTCCAAGAGGTATATGTGTGGGAGGCAAAAGAAGAATGACAGAAGGTACAACTCTAATGAGCTGCATCTACCACAGCCCCCTGAGGTCATGGGTTTACAGGAGTGATTCTACTTGAAATTCAAAGTTCTGTTGGACAAACCCTGTAATTCATCCTCCTTTACTGTGAAGCTCCCTTCCCCTCCCCTTTTATTTCCTTCCTTCCTTCCTTTCCTTCCTCTTTATCTCCCTCCTCTCTCTTTTTCCCCCTCTCTTTTCTCTGCTCCATTCCTTCTTTTGTCCTTCCCTTCCTCTCTCTTTTCTTCCACTCTTACCCCACCTTTTTCTTTTGACAACAGTTCTTTCTTGCATTCTATAGTTACAGGTTTTGTGGTCAGCAACTAAGCTAATTCACACAGAGGGCAGTGGACAAGTAAGGATATGACAGTATTTTATGGCAGTTGAGAATATAGAAGTTATGACTGTGCATGCAGGGTAACAACCACCTAAAATTCCTCCCAGTCCTCAAATAGTGTTTCCCCAGATTCCTATTGAATTATCCCCAGATGTCATTTCCTTTTGTACAGACAAGGCCATGTATAGACCTTGAGAGACATTTGTTGGGTGGTTTAGGAAAGCACCAGATAGGTCTGCATACATCCTGGGGGTTTTGTGGGCAGCCTCCTCCCAGTAAACCAAGGACAGACACATGAGCAATTGAATCCTCAGTCCAGGGTTCAGAGGCTGCAAGCATCCTCCGTCCCAGCTGGCACAATAGAACAGGAGTGGGTTGGTGAGAACAGAGCAGGCTAAGGAGAAACTCCAGCGGAGCAGCTGGAAGACCTCAGGGCACCACCAACCAGGTGATTTCCTCACCCCAAATGGCCTCACAAACCCTTCTTTCCTTACCCAACCAGGGGATTTGGACTCCTGGGAGACATGGGTGGGTTTAACCCAGCTCATACCCAAAATGGGGAAAAGGGATGAGAACTGAAGAAATCCTCAGAAAGGATGCTGGCAGCCTCCCTCCAGCAAAGTCTGGCCTGTCTGTATTGCCAAAATAGCATCACTCTCACGAGGCTGATGAAAGTTCTTGGCTCAAAGAACAAGACAAACTCTTTCAGACACAGGACATCACATTCCCTCTTTAAAAAAAACTCAGTGTAAGGAGTTCAGCTCACTGAAGACCACAGCCATTTTCTTCTGGGGGGAAAAATCATCAGGACAAGCTCAAAGTGGTTCATAAGCCCCAAATGGATTTAGTGTGAAGCTGGGAAGGGGAGGCCAGCGGTGCAAAGGAGAGGCTCACGCTGCAGACAGCCAGTCCATTTGGTTACCATGAATAAAACTCACTTACCTTTTCTAGAATAGAACTTTTGGCAGAGCCATTTTCTTAGGACTATCATTGCAGCTATGAAAATTAAAGCAATGGTGCAGGAAGGGATGAAAATGTGAAGCAGTGAAGTTGGAGCGACCTCTGGATCTATCCAACCTGGGTGAAGGAAAAGCACCAGAATCCCATTACATGGCAGCTCAGTGGTAGACCAACAAGTTGGCTATATGAGTGGGTTATAACCACCATGGCCAGGTGTGTCAAGCATGTACTCCATGCCAGCTATTGTTCTAAGTGCTTGGCGACTATCAGCTCAACTACTCCTCAAAATAACCCTGTGATGTAGGCTCTACTATTGTCCCCATTTTTTTGGTGAAGAAAGTGAGACAGAGAGGCTAGAAACTTTCCCCAAATTAGATAGTCAGTGGCTTAGCGGAAATACAATTCAGGCTGTCTGGTTCCAGATTCTGTGCTTTTTGCCACTTTGATATATTTATTCTATTCTCTTTTTCTATCTATCTATCTATCTATCATCTGTCTATTTATCTATCAACGTTTCTTTTTCCTATTCTTCCTTCCCCTACCCTCCTCATCATCCTCTCTCTCTTTCTGGTGGGAAGGTCTCTCAGCCCATAAATGTCTTTCCTCTACTGACAAGCACTCTCAGTGCTCAGATCTATACCATTAGTTATTCAATTTCAAGCATTAACAGGATCCTTTTGAAAAACTTGAATATACTAGGTAGTGCTAATATACAAAATCCAGTCCCTCATGTCTTGGTATGAATTACTGCAACTGGTCCTTTGCTTTGTCTCAGCTAATCAAGTTCCTGGCACCGTGGAAAAGATGAGTTTAGTAGAGCGGTGGATGAGAAGAATAATTTTGCAGGCTGGGGAAAGCCTTGTCAAAGGAGAGCTCTGGGTATCTACAGGTTAGAACAAGGGCTCCAACAAGGCTGCAGGGATATTCACAAAAGGGGGATGAAAGGGTACCCAACGTAAGTTGTGCCCTTTTCAAAAGCTTGAGTTTTGCCTTATGAAATCACTCACAGGGAATAAACACAACAGGCTGGGCAGGAAAAACTGGACAGAACTTCTCAGGAGGAAAGGCTCAGTCCTGCCAACTTAACAGGACTCCCCACACCACCCCCAGCACAGTGCCATCTGAGAACTATAGATTGTTTTCTCTGAGAAGGGATTAGACGTCATTTAATTCGAGCCCCTCATTTTAAAGTTGAGGAAGTAAGGTTCAGAGATGCTAAATAATCTATCCGAGATCATCACTGCTAAGTAAGTTGTAGAGCCAGGGTTGCAAACCCAGATCTCTCTAACCCAAAGCTTGGTCCTCACAGATATTTGTCTCTATCCAGCAGTGCGGTGAACATTAAGGAAGAAAAGGATAAGGAGCCTGGCTCATCTACAGCTTGGATAATCCATTTGATTATAATCTGCTTCTTAACTTCTAGCAAGTGCTTATTGAGCGCTTGCTGCATGTAGCACTGTGAGTCAAGGAGCACTGGGCTCCTCACTGTCTCCCACAATGGGAGGGGTCCCCAGCTCAGTGCCTTATGCAAACTCTTGCCCTGTGTAGATTCCCCCTCAGTTCCTTCCACATGCAGAAGCTCTACTCCTACCTGAAGACTTTCCAAAGTCAAACATGCAACAGGACATCAATCTGCTTAGATGTATTTGGAGGGCAAAGGATTTATTTATCTAGGTCACCTCTGAATCTTCTATAGAGCCAAGCACCAGTTACAAGAAATGTTTCCATAAAGATGTGTTGGGCTGAATTAACTATCTGTCTGTCTAGTCCACCTACCTTGATCTTCCTAGTCATTAATTACCTCGTGGTAAACTGCTAGTTATTCCCTTAATCTATTGCCTCTTTATTCCCTAGAATTAGGGTGTCATCTGGACACATGTCTTCTCAGAGACTGCATTTCCAAGCCTCCCCTGTAGTTAGGTGTGCCCAGCCATGTAAACTAAGTTCTGGCCAAGAGAATGGATCTTCTGGGTCTTGGCCTTAAAACATTGACTATGTCTTCCACCACTCTTTTTCCTTTTCGAGGGCTGAAACATGGATTTGGCGATGACCTAGCTTTGAAAATTCAACAGGGATAACATCTTGGAGATGTTGCTCTGGAGGCAGAGCAACAAGATGGAAAGAACTTGGATCACTGAATGAAAATAAAGTGTGAAACAAAACTACTTGGTTGCTCTGAACCACCTGAGTATTACATGGAGAGAAATATACTTTATCTTGTTTGAGTCACTTTATTTTGTGTGTGGGGAGGTCTCTTCATTATGGTAGCTTAGCCTTTATCTTTTTTTTTTTTTTTTGAGACAGAATCTCACTCCATCGTCCAGGCTAGAGTGCCGTGGTGTCAGCCTAGCTCACAGCAACCTCAAACTCCTGGGCTCAAGCGATCCTCCTGCCTCAGCCTCCAGAGTAGCTGGGACTACTGGTGCGTGCCACCATGCCCAGCTTATTTTTCCTATTTTTAGTAGAGACGGGGTCTTGCTCTTACTCAGGCTGGTCTCAAACTCCAGACCTCAAGCGATCCTCCTGCCTTGGCCTTCCAAAGTGCTAGGATTATAGGCATGAGCCACCACACCTGGCCAGCCTATATCTTAATAACATATTTTTCTAAATTGTTTTATAATAATTGAAAACTCTTTAATAATGATACAATGATGCAGTGGGAAAAATGTTTGCCTTGTCCTTACCAAATATCATGCACTCACAAGGAAGCCATGCGTCTTGCTAGAGGTGCCATATTTTTTTTCTGTTTCTACACTTTCTGAGTGCCAAGCACTTTACAAGCATATTTCATTTAATCCTCACAATAACCCTATGAGGTATCTACCACTATTTACCCTCATTCTACACTGACGGTAGACTGAGTGCTAAGGTGGCTAAGTAGTATGTTCAAGTCCTCAAAGCTAGTAGGTAGCAGAGAGGGAGGATTTGAAATTTAAGTCCATCCGACTTCAGAGCCCAGAGCCCATGCTCTCGACGAGTCACCTCCGGGTCTCCTAGCAGGGCCTCTCTTTTCTGCCAGCCCCACAAGAGTCTTTTTACAGTTAGTTTTTGTGCTCCAGTCCCATTACGTTTCCTAATGAAAATATAATGACTGGCTGAGCAGAAAAAACCCTATTTCAGAAGGAAAATGATCTTGTTGCTCCTAAACTTCTGCTTGAAAACTAGGATGTTCGGTCATCCATTCTGGAGTCACTGGAGCACCCTCCACCCTGCGTATTCTCATTTCTCTATTTGTTTTGTTTATTCATCAACTTCTGGAGAAGCTTGTGGTGGTTCACAGCAGTCAGCAGGTCAATTTATGAGAATGAGTAGAAAGGGAACAGTCATAAGACAACTTAAAAATGCCTTTGAGAAATAGAAGCAAAGAACCCATGAGAGGATGTGTGACTTTGGTTATTTTGTGCTGGCATTTGTGCCACAAACCAAGACATCCTTTGGCTGCTCTGATCTGCCTGTCCACACAGTCTGGCAGCTGGGATGATGGGACTGAGATTATCTAAGACCAAGTCTTCAACCTACCCATCTGACATTTATTGAGTTCTTACTAGGGGCAAAGCACTCTGCTTTTGCTTTAGTATGAATATAAAGAAGACTTGTCTGAACAATAAAAACACATGGAAAATAAAGTATCAGTAAAAGAGAAAAGACAGGCATAGTCACAAGGCAAACAAACAAATGTGCAGGTAATAGATCTTAAGAGACAAGATGAGAGAAAGACCCTTTTGTACCCTGGAGTTATCTGAGCTGCCCTGGAGAGAGGGTGGGCTTGGAGGTGGGGAATAATAACATTTTTGTGAAAAAAAGCAGACTGAGCAAAAAAAGGCATGGAGGTGGGAAAGGTGCAAGGACGTTCAGAGAGCATGTGGCGAGGAAGGGGCGCTTAATGGATCAGAGGACCCCTGTCAGGGAATAGTAGGATGAGAATAAAGCTGGCAAGGATGGGGAAAACCAGGCCGAGAATCTCTAGCTGCACAAAGAAGTCTCCATCTCCCTGCTGGCTGCATTTATCGGTGATACCCTAGGAGATCGTGACCTCTGATGAAGACTCCATAGGCCCTTCCCATGGTTGTTGACCATCTAGTTAGTCACGTTGGCTCCCATGGAGAGAGGGGCCAGTCTACTTAACTTCTCACATCATAAAGGCTTCCAGAGCAATGGTCAGTCTACCCTTGCACTTTTCTATCATGCAGGAAAATACAGTGACATAATCAGTGGTACAAAAGGTGGACTCTCATTATCTCTAAATTCATCTTACACAGGACCTTATTTCCCTACAGAGGTTCTCATGTAAGTGTCCTTCTAGAAAACTACATTTCATCTAAAGTACTGGCCTACACTTAACCAGGCATGAAATTCCACATAACAAAGGACAGTTGAGTAAACAATTCTAGGGGGAAAAATTCCTGTGGGTTTGTTAATTTAAGCCTCTAAAGCGTTAGTATGAATTAGTTATAGCACATTTTTTACAGGATGACAAATCTGGTGGTCCTAACTGTGATATAAAGAGAGGTAGATAATGTTAAAAGATCAACTTGCCTAATTCATTTTTTCACCCAAAGTTGGCCCTAAAATTGATGTATTTCTTACGTCTTTATTTCCGTCAAGGTTCTCAGCATGTCTCCTCTCTTTACTCACCGACTTCGTCATGATAATTCAGTTAGAAAGAAGCTGGGCTAACTTTAGCATTGGAGTTGGGTAGTGAAGTGTAATTAGATGGGGAAGTGGGAGGAAGGCAGGGATGACAATGCATCTAGCTGCCTCTGAAAATTTTATCCAAGGGGAATTTTTTTCCCAGAAGAAAATACTAGGAAAGTAATGAGGAGGTGGGTATTTATTTAGTCACTTTAAAATTCTCAAAGTTTGGTCTGTGGATCAGTGCCAAACCATGAAAAAGTTTCTTTTAGTTTGGATAGAGTAGATATCTCTGATGCCCCAACTTGTATCCTGTCTGCCCAACCCCTGATTTTAGCCTTGGCTGAATGTGGCTGATGGTGTTGGGGGGTGTCTAAGTCACTCCCCACTGACCATGTCACCTCTAGGATGTTCTGCTTCTGTGCCGGGGCTCCCCCAGTGCTGAAGGTTGGCCCCTCTCACCATTACTTCCAATGGCCAACTTACAGAATTTTTCCTTCTCATCTGCATGAATTTAGGCTCTACTGGATCAAAGGTCTGGCTTTCTATGGGGAATTCTCCTACTAGGGGATATTGTACTTGTTCTAATGTATCTAAAGTTATAGCTGCTGTCTGGTCACCTTGAACTCTTCACACTGGCAGACCAGTGGGCAAAGAAAAGAGTTACCATACTCGTGGAGTTATTAATCTTGATTACTGTGAAGATCTTGAGTGATGCTACATAATGGAGGCAAGGAAGATTATGTCTGGAATCTAGGGATCCACTGATTCACTGGTGGTTTCTACTTCCACATTCAGTGATAATGAAAATATATTTGCAGCAACTCTGGTCTTAAGGGTGAGGTGACCAAGTGATCAGATCTCTTAGGGTTGAAAGTTTGGGTCACCCTGTCAGGCAAAGAAACTATTCCATCTGAAGTGCTGGGTGAGGGAAATATAGAATGTGTGGTGGATGAGAGAAACAACAAAGATCGATTGTGGCTTGGGATTGATGGCCGCAGTGGGAACGGTAGCTTGTTCCACAAACTCTTCTTTTGTAGCGATTGTGGCTGCCTCCCAGCTGGAAGGCTTAGTGACAGAGTGGACTTAATGCAGGGCATGAGTGGAGGTGAGCAGTGTAAGGGGGACTGTGCATTCCTGCCTCACTTCCTCTCAGCCTCAGCTCTGATTTCAGCCAGCTAGAGTAGAAGTCTGGGTGGGCTTCCACTCACTTCGAGGCTAGCATTTCACCTCAGGTGGCTACTTTGCTTTCTGCCCTGGGACTTTTTGATGATACAGATGCTGTGGGAGCTCACTCAGCCCACATACATGCCTAGCTCAGGGGCAGAAGGGAGTTTACACTCCTGGGGACAATTGTCAACCAATGAGGGTGAAAGCAGATGGACAAGTCCTTCCACCTGAAGTTCTTTGAGTAAACATCTTAGGATGCATCTACATACTTCTCAGGTGGTCCTTGAATATCTGAGTTCCTATTGTCTACGCCAACAACTTTGATAATACACCTTCATATTTGCTTGTCTTTCTTTCCTGTCTTAAACTCCTAAATCTCTCATTTCTGCCCCCCGGGGTCACTACCTAAATACCTACCCGTTACATGAGTTCTTATCATAGGTTCTGTCTTGACTAACTAAGGGCAAAACGTGAAACAGAATGACAACATAGTGAATTTTCCATAATTTCCAAATCTATCAGTACAAGGGACTATCCTTTATTCTGTGGCTATGTCCTTTCTTGATTAGATAGGCAAAATAATGGCTTCCCTCAAAAATGTTCATACTCAGACCTAATCCCAAGAACCTGAGACTACATTACCTTACATGGCAAAAGGGGTTTTTGCAGATGTACTACATTGAGAACCTTGAGATGGGGAGATCATCCTCAATTATCCAGGGGAGAAGGGTACTTCATGTCGTCACAAAAGTCCTTAAAAAGTGGAAGAGAGAGGCCGGGCGCGGTGGCTCACGCCTGTAATCCTAGCTCTCTGGGAGGCCGAGGTGGGCGGATTGTTTGAGCTCAGGAGTTCGAAACCAGCCTGAGCAAGAGCGAGACCCCGTCTCTACTAAAAATAGAAAGAAATTAATTGGATAACTAAAAATATATAGAAAAAACTAGCCGGGCATAGTGGCGCATGCCTGTAGTCCCAGCTACTCGGGAGGCTGAGGCAGGAGGATCGCTTGAGCCCAGGAGTTTGAGGTTGCTGTGAGCTAGGCTGATACCACGACACTCTAGCCCGGGCAACACAGTGAGACTCTGTCTCAAAAAAAAAAGTGGAAGAGAGGAGCAAAAACGTTAGAGAAAGAGATGCAGTGACAGAAAGAGATGGCTGAGTGATGGGGTTGCTGGCTCTGAAGGTAGAGGAAGGGTCCACGAGCCAAGGAATGCAGGCGGCCTCTAGCAGCTGGAAAAGCCAAGAAAATGGAATCTCCCCTAGAGCCTCTGCAATCCTGCTCACACCTTGATTTGAGTAGAGTGAAACCCATGTTTAGTCTTCTGACCTCCACAAGTATAAGATAATAAACTTGTGTTGTCTTAAACTGTTAAGTTTCTGGTAATTTGATATAGGAGCAATAGGAAACTTCCACACTTGGTGATAAAATTACCTGTCTCTTATGAAATGATTCCAGATGTTAGTTGTTCTTACTTAGCAAAATAAATGTTCTTACTTGGCAAATAAAAAGTTGTTAGTCTCCCAAGATTCTTTGACATTTTGCTGGTGTATGAAGTTCAAAAGTATGGGATCCCTTCTAAAAATATCTAGTATAGCCAGTTAAGGCTCTGAAGGATTTTGAAAGAGACTAACTTTCTTGGAAATACCCTGTAACCAGCTGACTGGAAGTGAGCCAACAAAGTAGTATTCATCCTGCTGACTTATGGTACCATGCATGAGTCACAGTGGTTAGCTGCTGGCCTGGATATCTTCCATTTTCTCTACAGATCCATTCTCTACACTTCAACACTCTACTCTGAGCCCTGAGAGGTTGACTTTTATGGAATACCTCAGTGATCCTCTTATTCTCTGACTTCCAGCCGGGTTCCATCAAAGGAAGGCTCCAGCAGGAAGTTGGAGGGGAAGAGGAGAATGAGTCTGGGTATCCATTCACATAACTTCTGCCCCGTGGAGTTGCTGCAGGTGACAGCCTCCCTCTTCTGGAGGCCACAGCTCCTGTACAGTAGGGCTTTTCCTACAGCTGCCTTCTCCTGGTCCCAGTAACCTCTCCAGCAGTGGTCACTGCTCTCCCAACATTGAAGCCCCAGTGTCCTGCACTATTCTTTGTAGTTTCTCTAAATGCTGATCACACCTTCATAAATACTCCTCTTATTATACTCTTCTCAAGTTACTCATTTTGAGTGTGCCATCTATTTCTTGCTTGAACCCTGACTGAAAGATGTAGGAAGTGGGGGGTAGCTCTTACTTTGAGGGTCACTGATGTTGGCTGAAGTAAGTTCCTTTACATTAATGTTCCAGAACACACAACTGAAGTTTCTTCCAGGGTGGGGCTTTAGGCGCAGAACACTGGTGACCTGGTAGAGGCCTTCAGGGGTCCTGATGTGGCTGGTGTTGGCAGGAACACTGATGTTTGGCCAGGACACTTCTGCCAGGGGATAACCTCTAGCCTGGCAGGTGAGCTTTACCTCATCTGTCCCTGGGATGTTTAGGATGCCAGTGTTTATCTTTCTGTAGGAAGCTGGACAGTAAAAGAAGAAAAAGAAATAAGTCTTTCTTTTCTGATTCCTGTAGAGCTCTATACTTAATGCCATGTCCCTGGTATCATGCTATTTTACATGCATTGAATTATTTAATTCTTACAATACAACAGAGATGGCATTGTTGATATTTTCAATTTTGTTGGGGGTAACTAAAGGCAGAGAGGTTGAGTATTTCACTCAGGGTGACAGAGCTTATAACTGGTACAGCCAATATTTGAACATTGGAAGTCTGATTATAGATCTCAGCAGTGATCTAAGCTACCACACTTGGTGGCTTCTTGTAGTGTTTTCAATTATCTCACAATTGAAGATTAGAAATAAGATGGATAAATAAAATCACTGGATAACCCCCATATCTCACTTTATTCAGTACTTTTTCAAACATCTTTAGCTGAAATTTTGCTTTCCACTTCCTTCTTTCCTCTGTTCTCTTTGACACTAGGAGGAGAAAAAATAAAGACCTATATAATGTCTATAAACAGTCAACAGTTGGGTGTATTTATTATGTACTTCTCCCCAATACACACACACACACACACACACACACACACACACACACATGCTTCTTTACAGAATGTGCTGAGTACATTACCTATGGCTCCTTGCCCTCTAGCGATCTAAAATATACGAGAGTGTACAGCCAATTTGGAAAATAATATAGAGGTTCCTCAAAAAACTAAAAATAGTATTACCATGTGATTCAGCACTCCTGCTTATATCCGAAGAGATTGAAAATAGTATGTAGAAGAGATATCTGCCCTCCCATGTTCATTTCAGCATTATTTATAATAACCAAGATATGGAATCAACCTAAGTGTTCATCAGCAGATGAACAGATAAAGAAAATGTGGCATATATACACCATGGAATACACAGCCTTATGAAAGAAGGAAATTTTGTTATTCATGACAACATGGATGAAACTGGAGGATATTATGCTAAATGAAATAAGCCAGGCATAAAAGACAAATACTATTATATATGACCTCACCTATATGTGGAATTTAAAAAAGTCAATCTCAGAAACAGAAGAGAAAGGTGGTTAACACAAACTGGAGTGGGGAGGGATGGGGAAAGGGAAGATGTTGATCAAAGGGTACAAAGTCTCAGCTAGACAGGAGGAATAAGTTCTAGTGACCTATTACTCCGCATGATGACTCCACAGTTAATAATAATGTGTTGTATATTTCAAAATTTCTGTAAGAATAGATTTTTAACATTCTCACCACAAAAAAATAAGCTAGTGAGGTGATGGATAATTAATTAACATTAATTAGCTTGATTGAATCTTTTTACAATGTATACATAGATCAAAACATCACAGTGTACCCTATAAATATATACAATTATTTATCAATTAAAAATAAATAAATTAAAACATTAAAATAAAATGAAAAAATAAAAACCCTACCAAAAGTTTAAAAATAAATAAAATAGACAAGGACGATATTGACAGGGACAGGAAGACACAAGGACAAACTGCCCAATGATCTTAGATAATAGCCATAAATAAATAAATATTAACACCATATGCAGTTACTAGGGAGTGTGGAAAGTAACCTGTTGGTTTTTGACAAGGGAAAGAGAGAATGAGCACTGGCTTTCATTAGGTAGGGAATAATCCTTTAAGAAATAGAATTTCAATACAATGTTTGAAGTAAAGGCACAGGTGTGATTATACTCCCAACAATTTTTCTTAAATTTTTGGGAGTAAAAATGGGTACAAACTGTGAAAAGTGATTTCATGTGAAAATATTATAACAATCATGTGGAAAATATCTAATATGCATGATTTGTTTATTGTTTTCTATGTGTTGAGCTTTGTGCTATGTCCTTTTACATGCTATGGAGGAGGAAGGAATGTTCATGCCCCTCTCCACAATTTTTATGCCTCTGTCCACCTCCTTTCTTGTGTGTCTCTGTGTTACAAGTTGACAGTTTGATTAGTTATAGCCAAAGACACTCACTGGATCAGGGTTTGCTAGAGAGCAGGGTAACTGCATGTTGACCACCACCTTTGGACACTTTGGCCCTCCCCTAAAGTCCTTGCTGTGTGTGGTAAGCATACCTTGGCTGGGCCTGCTGGTGTGTCCCAAAAAGCTCTGACATCTTTCCAGCTCATGGTATTCCAGCTTCTGCCTGTGACTGGGCAGGTGGGGCAGATTTTCTTATCCATGACATGGTATGGATGAGTGAGTTTAGGATCTAATTTGCAAACCTTGGCTCCCAGATTAAGATGACGGAGCAAGAAACAAGAGGCCTCCTATTCTAAGTCACATTCTGCAGCTACACTATCACGAAGCACCAAAGGGAAAGGGGGAAATCATGAGCTCATCCAGCTATTAATTTAAAACACGGTGTTCATTTCCCATTTGGTTACTGATTCTTGTGCATATAGCTACTTAGTCAAGGAATCAGAAAGGTCTGAAACTTGTAAGTGGCTCTAAAACCTGACCCCAGCCCCTTAATATACATACACAATGTATGTAATACAGTTGTCTCATTTAAACCACACAAAGACCCTATGAGGGAGGTAAAATTCATATTGCTGATTTGTAAGTAGGGAAACAGCAGGGATCTGGGGTGGGTGGTGGTCTTGAACTCATGCTCTTTGTGCTACACTATTCTGCACTCTGCACTGGAATCACCATGAGAAGATGATTCTCTGTGTAACTGCACAAGTCTGGGGATGGAGCATCATAAACAGGAAGAAGAATACGTTCCCCTGGGGGGCTTAGGATCACCAGAACCGGTAGATGAGGAGAATCAGATTCTGAAGCAGCCTACTGAAGACTTGACCTGGTTAGAGTAACCAATCTCCTTGAAGCCAAATTTTTGCCTATTTCTAGCAATTAAACAGCATCCGAGGTGTGCATTTTGAGTACTCACTTTATCTCTTACGTTATTTATTTATACTTATTTTCCCTTGGTTCAATGTCCTCTTATAATCATTTCATTCTATCATGTTGTAGATTTTTTCTGCAAGCCATCAGGTCTTTGGGGGAAAAAAGTAGAATACATGGATTCATAGGAGCAGTGTGCTCTGGGTGACACTCCAGCCCACTCCTGCAGGGTGGCTGGGGACAAGAAGCTGACCTTGGTGTCCTGGTAGAGAGATGAGTTCAGAGATACCAGGGCCAGGAATCAGGAGCTTGGCTGAGCCTTCGACTTGGGCTGCATAAACGAGGGAGCAGAGGGGAGGGAGAGATCTTTAGCTAAAAGAATCAGCAAACTTTGGGGAAGGGACAGGAGCCCACACCCTACGTTTTTTACAACATCAAAAATGCCTCCACAGCCTCTTTCTCATTTGGGAAGTGGCTGAAAAGGCATTGCTTCCCGTAATGGGGAAGCTGGACTGAGAGTAATATTCTTAGGAAAAGATGAGAAAATTTTAGAACATCAGTGGTGGAAATAATTTAAGTCATCTAACTGCTCAATGACAAATATTTGCTACAGCAATTCTGCTAAATAATTATTTCGATGAATGTTCCACATGCACTTGAAAATAATGTGCATTCTGCAGTTGTTGGGTGTAAGTTTTTTTTTTTTTTTTTTGCCTAGTCAAGTTTTTATTTTTATACTTTTTTTTTGTATTAAAAGGAAAAGCATAATTACCACAAATTACAAAGGACTAAAGCAGGACTAGAATAATGAATGAGTCACTGCAGCCTGGAAAGCAGATATGCTCAATAATATTAATGTTATAACACAAGCTCATTCAAGTATTTTACCTTTTTTTGTCCTTTTAAATGTGATGTCCTAGCACGTGGTAAAGATAACATACTATAAGCTTAAGGTGGAATCTTCTCCACAAAACCAGATGACAAGTTTTCCTCTCCAGGGAGAAATGGGCTGTAAGTTCTTATCTTTTGTGCCATCAACTTGGCCAAAGGAGGAGAGAGTAGGTCTGGGGAAATTCCAGGGACCTTTTCACACAGGAGATATTTTGGGGTCCCATTCAAGAGGGTGCCAGATGATCCAGATCACTCTACTCAGGCTTACTTACTAGTTGTCTTCCTTAGCCTTCTCCTCCCCACTTCCAGGGCCTTCTGAGCAGGTTACTTTCTTTTGTAATAAAAATCAATTGTCATGAAAGGGGGAAAAAAGAGCTACAATGCAACAAAACAAAAATGTTTAACAGCTTTGACATGGGGGCTCATACCTCTACCTGAGCCCCAGGGGTATAGGCTGGGGCAGAGCTGGATGTCCCTTCCCTACTGGTGCGCATTTGCTCCCAGGCACAGAAGAGGGTGAAAGAGAAACCTGCCTCTCAACAGGGCTGAGGGACACAGACCCTTCTGATATTTGATGCCCAAAGGCTGGTTAGGCATGGACCAGCCTTGGAAGGGTACAGCACGAAGAGGGGTTTGGGCAGGCTGTTGCTTTGTGTCGCAAGCCTTAGATCCCCATGGGAGAATGGTGGGTGTGAAGCGGCTAGCCCTGATGGCCCCTGACATTCCTGGCATACTTGTCACAGATAAATCAGTCCTAAATTCAAGTGTCTTCAGAAAGTGAAGATGTAAACTACTCTTTGCAACATTAACTCCTAACATATTACAAAAATAGAAGTCCCCCCCACCCACCGAGCAGCCTATGTTGAGATGAAGTCCTCACCTCCCTGTCCCAAAGAGGCTTCCTCTTTCAGGGTTGTCTGTGGAGAGGATGGTGGCCCCTGGCCTGGAGGTAAACTTTAGATAAGAACAGCCTTTCCCCACAGCCCAAGGCTTCCCTGTGTCCCCAAACCCAGCAGAGGACAAACACTGAGGTTTCTGTCGTGCTGAGTGACCTGAAGGAAAGAAAATGGGAAGGAAAGGGAGGAGGAGGGGGTCCTGGAGCCCAGGGTCTAGTACAACATGGGGCAGGTACCAGCCTGGGTAGGGAAAGGCCTCAGAACCTACTGTCACAGCTGAGACCAGACTCTCATCATTGGTTTGAGACGAATGGGTCTCAGGAACATATGGGCTTCCCACATGCTAAT